GGGGGAGGAGGGGGAAAAGGAGGAGAAAGAGAACTAGAATGATTTTAAGAACTTGGAAAGTAGGAACTTCTTCGATGTGCTCCTGTTGAGAACCACTGGTCCTATCATCCTTTCTCATATAGCTTTTTCAGGAAAAACTTAATCACAGGGTTGTAAGTTTTTAGAGCTCGCTCTTCTGGTTAGCTGAGTTTGCTAGTTAACTGTTCAGCACCTTTGAATTTTAATTCTAGTTGATACCTTTGTTTAAATGCTATTAGCTTACTTCCCTTCATTAGTGTGTAGTGAATCATCCCAGAGAAAAGGATTCCAAGCCATATTATCTGACATTTTATATAGATCTGCAGCCGTTGCTTAAGATCCCTACAGAGCAGATTGGAGAGACAAAACTCAGTTGGATTTTCTGCCCCTCGTTGAGAGAAATCAACCAGGCAATCATTTATTCTGCAAACATTTGTTGATCACCTGTGTTGCGCCTGCCTGGAGTGGTCCAATCAGGGCATATAAAAATGAAAACAATATCTTTTCATGGGAGGTGTCTTACAGCCTTAGCCGTTTAGTGTTCCCTCTGCCTGGTAATATCTATTTTACTCTCAGTATTTTAACAAAGAACTCTTTTTCAAATTATTTTAAGATATGTCTTATTAAAAAACATTTGTTTGTGTGTTTCCCTTTCTCTTAACTGCACCCGTGGAGAGCTTGGCTCTTTTCAACTCCAAGTTTCTGGCCAAGACCTTTCTGTCCACCTGGGGGCAGCATATCCTTACATAGAAAAGCACCTTGAAGGAAACGACTGGCTTTCTGAGCTCCTGGCTTTCAAACACAAGCCTTTCAAGAAGTGTTTCCCAAATGACTGACCCAATAAATATTCAGTCTGAAGAATTATCCTTGAAGAAAGGGTTCCATAGTCAAATAAGTTTAGGTAACTCTGGTTTAAGTAACGTTAAAAGGTGTCTTCCCTGCAAGACCTCTCAGAAACTTTAAAATACTTTTGTGGTACAAAGTCACAGTGCCTGGCACTGTGCGAAGTGCTTTACTTACATTGATATATTTAATCCTCACAGCCATCCTGTGAGCAGGCACTAATACAATTCTCCATTTTACAAATGAAGAAACAGAGGGACAGAGCTCCTAAGTGGTAGCTGAGTTTCAAACACAGGCCATCTAGCTACAGAACTTGCATATTTGACCATTACACTATAGTGTTTGCAATGTGAGACTCCAAGAGGAAGAATTTAATAGTCACTGTTTCCTACGTGCATTTGGCTTTGGAACTCTTTTCTTCCTGCTGGTCAACATAGAGGACTGGTGTTTAACAGAACACGCTGTGAGAAATGCTTCCATAATGTGATGACAAATGCCATCCCTCTTTAAAATTTAACCTAAATATAAATCCACGGGCCCAGTATGTAACTGAATGGTTAACATTCAGTTGAATTCTGATTTGATGGGAAGGCTCCTGTCATGTTAATCTCTATTCTCAAAGCTAATGTCATTAAACCAAGACTAAAGTATGTATTTAAAGTATATCAAGTACCAGTCAGAATTGAATTTTCTTGGGAAGAAAAATACAAAGTAGAGAGGTGAAACTAGAAAGCCACAGGCACAGAAGCTAAACAGAGTGTGGAATGTTCTGGGAAAATAAGGAAATGCTCACCTCTTCATGGGAATCCAAAACTAAGACTGAGATTCTAAATAATGTTGGAGAATTAGAACTGGAATACGAATGGCACCTCTGACCAACACAGGCCATTTTAGAACAAAGTTAAAACATCTGTAAAACAAAAAATGTCGCTCGCCATCCAGTTATACAAGTATCAAATCAAATCGTTAGCCACTGCAGTCGTTGACCAATAGTTCACCCTGAAAGGAATTCAGGACAAAAAACAGGATGAGGCACTCTGTGCTTTGGAAAAACAGGCCCCTTAGAGAGTTGATGTATATCTCAGGAAGAATTTTAGTGAACCCAGATTCTTGCATCTTCCATAGAAACATAGAAACACTCTAAAGTCATTAACTGAGATATCTATACCTTGTGACTAGCAGTAATATTTTACCGAGATTCATGCTTTACTACATGTATTCCCTAGTCAAAAATCATATATGTACTGACTTCTCCTCTACCTGTTGGGGGCAGTTCCCTCAGAGCTATTGAGAGGCTGCTTTTCAGGCTATAGTCCTCAGTAAGATCCCTAAATAAAACCAAAACCCACAGCTCTTACATTGTGCGTTTTCCTTTCAGTGGACAGCTTTTGATGAGCACGAAGGGACCAGAGCAGACTTCTTTCCTTCTCCTGGACGCTATGAGGATCCAAAGCCATACTACCGCTAAGGGCCCCTTATGCCCATCTGCCCCCTTGGCAAGTCCAGACGACTCAGTAAGTCTCTCTTGTTCTCAGATCTCCCGTTTTGGTTGACGATCCTGAGTTTTATTCTGTGGTGGATAAAGAGGTGCTTGACGTAGTTGAAGGACACCGAGAAAGTTTTTGGTCATTTATAGGCAGTTATTATTTTAGTAAAAATGCCTCTCTTCTAGAAGATTCATAGAAAGGACTTTCTGACAAGTACAGGTTTCTGATAACTTTCAGATCATACCACTGAACTGGATAAGAAATTACAGAGTTATAATGAAAACTCTGATGGCTTCGTAAAACTGTTATGAGAAGATCAACAAGAATTAGTTATGTAAGGCTGAACGATAATTTTATGACTTTTTGTCTAAAATATTACTGGCTTTTCATCTTTGTTTTCCAGATATAAGGAAACATTTCCCCTTAAACTAATTATGGCTTACAACAATTTGGTAAATTATACTTTTGTAAACAGACCTGAAACCTTTATCTTTTTCTCTCTACCTGATCCCTCCAGAAGAGCATTCTTATTTTCATGGTAATATAGTTATTTGCATAAGTTCGATAAGAATCTGTTCTTCTTAGACATAATTGGGAACATTGGTTATGTCACCGTGGCTTTGATCGGAGTGATATATTTGAGAATACACACAAAATCAAATATGACCAGACAGCTTCCAAGAACTAAGGTGGACTTTATGGAGCCATAAAGCCCCTTGGAAAAATGACCTGATACCTTGCTCACAGGGTTCCCAGCATCCTTACAAGGTGAATAAAGGAAGTTATTTCCTGGCAAATGCAAGAACCTCAAAATATTTTGGGGACCTCAAGAAGAGGGGAATTCACCCAAATCTGTAGGTACTGCAGGCAAAATCTGATGTCAAGTATTTGGTGTGGCTTTCTTTGCCTTGAGAGGCCTTTTAAAGTTCAATCTGAGATTCCTTATGAAAAGTTCCAGGAAAGCCAATTTAAAAGAGCCTATGATCAATTACACTTATGTAAATAGTCAAACCAAGTTTATTGAAACCAGGCATATTTTGTGGAAAAATTTGTCTTAATTCAGCTCTATTTGATAAAAATGAGGGTTAATTTTAGAGAAAAAAAATGTTTCAGTGGATATTAAGTTCTAGTGTTGTTAATTGACTTTGCATTTTGGTGTTTACTGCCTAAACTCACTTCCTAGGTGGCTCCTTGTAACTATGTTGCATTATTGTAAAGCTTAATTGAATTAGGAAAAACACATTCTAAGCTTGTTTTTGAAGCTTACCTATCTTTTATTTAAGGTAATTTATCTTTGGATGAAGATTAGATGCCCTATGACCTGCAACCAGGAGATTATGTGTATTGGAAAAGACATCATTTAAAGGACTCCCTCCAGCCTAGATGGAAGGGCCCTTATCATGTACTCTTAACTAGCTCATGTGCAGCGGAGAAAAAAAAAAACAAAACAGAAGGAAATTGGCTCTTGGATTCATATTTCTCACATTAGAGGGGACCCAGCACTGGACTGGTCTATAGAGAGGACTGCTGACCTCAAATTCACCTTAAAATAATGCTCAAACAGAGGAGAAATGACACCCATGCCAGGACCAGAAGATGACACCAGAAGTAGACAGCTATCCCAAGGTGCTGGACCTGACCCATATGATTATTTATAGTACTTTCTTGATTTCTTGGACATTTTGCCTATGAATAAAATGCTTTTCTATCATGGGCACGACCCTATGCAGAGCATAAAAATTAATCCAATTGTTGGGTTTATGGTCAATTATCTACATCTAGCACTTCTGGTTTACCTTGGTGGATTTCTCCTCTCCAAGGCTCTGATTACATGGTCCTTAGAAAATTAGTTTCAAAGAAAGAAGTTATAGCTCTATTCAGGACACTATTGATATCATTAGATGAGATCCCCTCTTTTGGCCAGTCAATCATACTTGCTATGACTCTGGCCATAAATATGAATTTTCTTTAAAAGTTACTCAAGCTAAATCAGAGCGATGAGCTAAGTTTCAGTCAAAAATCATAACCACCCATTTATTATGAGGGACTCTCCCTCAGTTATGGGATGGATACATACAGGCTACAGTCATTTAAGTTTAAAGACCCCCCTTATGTTAGGGCAATTAGATCATACTAAGGATAATCAGCCTAAGAACACTGGGAAATTGGGCTAGATCCCTTATGGACAATTCCAGTATCTCCTTACCCTTAAAAATAGCAGTGGGTACGGAACAGACTGGATCAGACAACCGGGGATATACTTGGCTGCATCTAATGGAAATTCTTGGCTTAAATTCTTACTTATGACCTAATTTACGCTACTAACTATGTTATATACTGTATTCTGCCTATTCTACAAGATTGTTGTTTCTTGTATTACCTAATGCATAACTGAGTCTCTGACAAAAATAATGATGCCTAAGAGACTCAAAATGGTTGGCCAAATAGATAGTTCCATATAAGATTAAAATTATTGTAATAGTGTAACTCTAGATGTGGGAAGAAGCAACAAGGGAGAATCATTTCCTGGACCGTAACAGACTGGTAAGGCCGGTGGTCCAGAGACTCTGATGGTTACCATTAACAAGATCCAGTCCAGTCATAGAACATTGAGTGGCCTATCAAAGAAATCCTCACCTGACTTAGGAATTAGCCTTCACAGCACTGTGAGACAAATTGGTCCTGAAATGCTTCCCACACCTTGGTCGAATTTATGACCAAAAGGGAGGACTGTAAAATAAAGAATGTTGCCCATCATCCTGTTCTACAAAGATTAAGTCATTAGCCACTGCAGTTCCAGAACGACAATACACCCTGAAAGGAATTCAGGACAAAAAACAGCGTGAGGCACTCTGTGATTTGTAAGAATAGGCCCCTTAGATGGATAGATGTATATCTCGTGAAGAATTTTAATGAACTCAGATTCTTGCATCTTCCCACACATACAAACACTCTAAAGTCATTAACTGAGACATCTTTGTGACTAGCAGTAATCTTTTACCCACATGTGTGCTTGCCTGCATATACTCCCAAGCTAAAAAACATATATATACTGGTTTCTTCCCCCTACCTCTTGGGGTAGCCTCCTCAGAGCTACTCAGAGATTGTTTCCCAGGCTATAGTCCTCAGTAAGGTTCCTGAATGAAACCCAAACCCACAACCCTTACGCTGTGTGTTTTTCTTTCAGTCAACACATCTAAGGGATAGTCTACCTGATAAGACTGGTAGTTACTTTAAGCAGTATTTTCTAAACCTTAGTCATTTATATACATACTAACTTCATGATTTTTTTCCTATCAGGATACCACTACTATTATTTATCCAGTATTTTCCATAAATTGTCTTATACTTTTGTATAAATTAATTTTTTAAAAAGCTCATTATCTGAGAATTCATGGTTTTGAAGGAATAATTATCTTTTTCTAATATGTAAATTTAAAACTGAAGAAATAATTGTGTTCCATCTAAAGTGATCTGTGTACCATTATTTCGGAAATGGTTTTCTGAAGGATAAAATCCTTCCACTGCTGTGAAAAAAGAAAAAGGTAGAATTGAGACTGAGTTTTAAAAGGTTAAAATATATTTGAAGAATAAGACTGTTGGTGAGAGATGAAATATATATATATATATATCTACTTTGAGGTGCAATTTAAAATTCCTTTCTAAGGTTGTTCTAAAAATATTATCTATTCTTTTGTTGTATTTTAATACTGTGTTTGAATAAACAGATTACCTACTTTCATAAACAGATTATCTTTTTCTTAGTTCTAATCACAGCAATGAAAATATCAAATATACTTGAAATAAACTGTCAAACCAAAAGAATGTTTATTATATGGGATATTTTATTTATGAAAACCTATATTGCAGCTTTGTGTTAATATTCAATATGAGCTTCATGGCAATTTTGAATTTTTGAAAACTCATCTTTTGCTTCTAACAAGTACAATATATATTAATATACTACAAAGTTCACTTTACCAAACAGCATTTCATCTATCCATAGATTAATCATGGCACCAAACACTTTTCCATACTGTATTTGACACAGAAATTGAGATACAGACAGCTAAATCTGTTCCAACAACATGAACCAGAAGATTATTTGATAAAAACAAGAGACAGGGACTTCCCTGGTGGTCCAGTGGTTAAGACTTCACCTTCCAATGCAGGGAGTGAGGGCTCAATCCCTGGTCATGGAGCTAAGATCCCACATACCTTGCCACCAAAGAACCAAAACATAAAACAGAAGCAATATTGTAACAAATTCAAAAAAGACTTAAAAAAAAAAAAGAGACAGGGCTTCCCTGGTGGCGCAGCGGTTGAGAGTCCGGCTGCCGATGCAGGGGACACGGGTTCATGCCCCGGTCCGGGAAGATCCTACATGCCGCGGAGCGGCTGGGCCCAAGAGCCGTGGCCGCTGAGCCTGCGCGTCCGGAGACTGTGCTCCGCAATGGGAGAGGCCACAACAGTGAGGGGCCCGCGTATCACAAAAAAAGAAAAAAAAGAGACATTTCCTTATAGCAATACTATACAATAGAACTTTCTAGGATGATGGGGAAAGTTTGACATCTGCATGTGTAACAAGTAGCTACTGAATTGGAATTGGCATAATGTGATGTAGCCCATGCCCAAGGCATGAGCAATGATAGTCATATACAATCATTGCTCATGATGACCAAAATTAACCTGAATAACCAATAAATGTTTCATTATTTCTGTCCAGACCCCAGATTTATAGAACCAATGCTAAGTTGATTTAGCCAGAGTCACATACCTGTCTCTTGTGGTAATGTTATTTTCAGACTTTCTAGTAGGCATACATTCTATTTATTTTCTTTATTGCCACTTGGTAGTACTATAAAAATTGTAAAAGCAACTTGAGTTCATTCATTTGATAAATATTTATTGCAAGCTTATTCTTGGCAAGACCCTGGAGATGCAGTACTAAACAAGATAGAAATGGTTCCTGCCTTCATGAAACTTAGACTCTAGCTGGATGAGGCTTGGTGGTATCATTAAGGTTCATCAATGAGAAAACAACCTTGTGAAAGCATTGTCCAGATTGTTCAGAAACTAAGGTGTCCAGAACTGACATGTATGCTTAACTCTGGTACCCTTGTGGGAGGAAACTTATCTAAACCAGAAAGTGAGAATCTATTTACAAAATGTGTTTTATCTTTTTCCCTACTTTTCAAGTGATGATGCCTTTCCAAGGGTTAATTATACACCCCAGAAGATTTCAACTTGGTGAACCCCATTTCTTTCTTTTCTTTTTTCCTCCCTCCCTTCCTTCCTTTCTTTCTTTCTTTCTTTTTCTTTCTTTCTTTCTTCTTTCTTTCTTTCTTTCTTTCTTTCTTCCTTTTTCTTTCCTTCCTTCTTTCTTCATTTATTCATACATATTGACTTTATACTCTGTGAAGAGAGTTTCTAAAATTATCATGAATGTATTTTTTGTATAACTTTTTGATGGCTCCACCATGCAGGGTTAGAGAATTTATTGCTCTATATGTCAGTTGCCTTGGCATTTTGAGGCAAGTGAATAGAGAGGTTAAGGCTTGGATCTAGCCAAACATGTACTCTGTATCACAAATGGATAATCTTAAATGATAGAATAGAGCCACCTGTCTACCTCAGATATACTAGTCAATTTGATGTGCAAGACCTATGCTTCATAGGCAGGGAAGTTACAATTTATAAAATAATAAGAGTTGGGGCTGGAAAGCCATCTTAAAATCTTTCTCCTGAAAGATAATATGCAAAAATCCCAGGGCTAAGTAGACAATACGAACACTTGTAAACGGACTGCGGTGCGTAAGACCCCTGAGGCTAAACTGCTTGTATTCCTATCAAGCTAGCTCCTGGCTAGATTTGTTGCCTGTTAAAATCCATTAACCAAACAAAATTAGGGGTGTTTCGTCTAGTAGGTGCTACTAAAGGCATACCTAGGACCTAAGAATTTTTTAGAGCCTATAAACATGTTTGAGACCTAAAAAAAAAAAGTTTTGACTCCAAAACTTACAAAGTATAACATACCAACCAATCAACTGCAATTCAACTATTTTGTAGCTAATTTAAATTATATTTAATTTGGGATATGGATTATGGTTGATTTTAACATGCTTGATAGATTTGACGGGCCTAAAAGAGTAAGAATACCTAGAACTCCAGAAAAAATGACAATACCAAACTTTTCTCTTTGTCATCTTGAGTCACCAAGTTGCTAGTTTGCAAGCCCTGAATTATGTGCTGGTTGTCCAGATAAGAATGTCATATCTAGGGAGATCAAGTGAATTGGACAAGTTCCCATAGCTACACAGAGGCATGTCCCCAACTAGAACTTTCATCTCTGAGTCCCGCATGAGGGCTTTTGCACCCAGTGTCATCTACATCCGATTCATCGGGATACATGTTAAAATGCATATTCATAGGCTCTGCTGAATTAGAACCTCTAGGGTTCAAACCCAGGAATCTGCATTTTGTCCCACACAAAATGTATCATTTTACATTTCCAGGGACAGAGCTATTTAACTAGTCAGCTCTGGTCAGTTCATTGAGCCAATTTGTTTCCAGTGAGTTGATGAATTG